ATGCCTTCCCCCCACCCCTGACCAGGAGCCTGCAACCGAGGTACATGCCCTTGACTGGAATCAAACCCAGGACCCTTCAGTCTGTAGGCCAATGCTCTATCCACTGAGCCAAATTGGATAGGGCCAGGCCTGTGCCTTTTTAAATAGAATAAAATGTTTATTTCATCTTTATTGCCTATCCTGAGCTATTTCTCATAAAAGTGTAATTGATTCAAGAAATACACACACACACAAAAAAAAACACCCAACCTTGTATTTATAATTTTTATCTTAGGAAAATGAACATAAGCTAATTACCTAATTTTTAATAGAAGAGTTGATGGGAATATAATATATAATTTATAGTATGAATATTTATGAAAGTAAACACTAATTGTAGGAGGCGCAATAAAAAAGTGTGCCCAAAATGACTGGGATGGTTGTTAGATTTACAGATAGATCATCAGGGCTTTTCCCTAGAAATTTTGACTCAGTAGGTTTCAACTGGGGCCTGGGAGTCTGTTACTTAACAAGACCTCTCCAAGTGTTTCTTATTTTCAGCCAAGTTTAGGAAATTAGCAGTGGACCTGCTTCCCCATATCTTGACTTTGGTCTAAGTCCAGTTCAAATATTAATGGCTGTATGATTGGTGCCTCACTTACACGAACACAGCTAGAAAGATGGGTTGTCCAAGGGCTTAGCAGAAAATCTACAGCTCACCTTATTTCTTGTGCTTTGATTGGACCAAAAACCAGCTTGAATTTTAGGGGCCTCGATAAGTGTGTCTAGTGTAACTTAGGATTTTGTAATTTAGAATTTTGATGTTTGAAATTGATAATTGTTTTCAACCATGAAGCTGCTGCCACAGATAATTATTATCTTCCAGGGGTTAAAAAAAAGCATATCCTATTTAATAAAGAGGTAATATGCAAATTGACTATCACTCCAACACACAAGATGGCCACCCACATGTGGTCAAAGATGGCTGGCAGAAGAGGGTAGTTGTGGGCGACCAGGCCAGCAGGGGAGGGCAGTTGTAGGCGACCAGCTTGTAAGGGAGGGCAGTTGAGTAGACAGTTGTGGGCGATCAGGCCTGCAGGGGAGGGCAATTAGGGGTGACCATGTCGGCATTTAGGGGCAACCAGGCCTGCAGGGGTGGACAATTAAGAGTGACCCGGCCTGCAGGGGAGGGTAGTTAGTGGGCGACCAGGCCAGCAAGGGAGGGCAATTGTAGGCAACCAGGCCTGCAAGGGAGGACAGTTAGGAGTGATGAGGCCTGCAGACGAGGGCTGTTAGGGGGCGACCAGGCCAGCAGGAGAGGGTAGTTAGGGGTGACCAGGATGGCAATGGAGGACAGTTGGGGTACCTGGGCCAGCAGGGGAGGGCAATTGGGGGCAACCAGGCCAGCAGGGAAGGGCAGTTAGGGGTGACAAGGCCGGCAGGGGAACAGTTAGGTGTCGATCAGGTTGGCAGGGGTGTGATTAGGGGGTGATCAGGCTGGAAGACAAGTGGTTAGGAGCAGTCAGCAGGCAGGCAGGTGAGTGGTGGGGAACCAGCAGTCCTGGGTTGTGAGAGGGGTTCCAGATTGGAGAGAGTGCAGGCCAGCTGAGGGAGACACACACACACACACACACACACACACACACAAACACCGTGCACAAATTTCATGCACTGGGCCTCTAGAGAGTATGTGTGCACTATAACATGCTGACACGTGGAAATCTAGAAATAAATTTTATGCTGAGGCAATTGTGTGTCCTAAAATAAAATATTTATTCAAAATGTTAAAAAATATAGAAAAATAATAGCTAGCAATTTTTAGGTGTGCCACTGTATGCCAGGTACTATGCCAAGCACTTTTCAATACAGTTTATCATTTAATCCTCACAACAAAAAAATACGAAGGTGGTGTTTTTAGTATTCTTTTTGCAGAAAAGTTAATTGAAGTAGCACAGAGAGGTTAAGTAAAAGTAACTTGTCCATTGTTTATAGGGTTTTTGTTTGCTCATTTTAAATTGGGAATGTCCTAAATGACTTTTAGGTGAACTTATTTTCTTTGACTTTTTTGACTGAATTATTATTTACCTTGAAATTTGATTTCTTGTATTGCCTCATTTTCTTATAAAATAAAAACCTCTTATATATTTTAGCAAGGAATGTGAAGTAAGATATAGATATCACTTTGGAACATTCAAATGATGAAAGAATATGACAATTTAATAAAAGGAAAGTGTTTATTGTCACTTTGAGAACGTAATTTAGTGATTTATCTGGGAAGTAATATCTATGACTATACATAAAGGGGTGAGCAAAAGTAGATTTACAATTATAATACAAATAAGTAACACAATAATAATAATAAAACAACAATAAAATCTGTGTTTCACATATTCAACAACTATAAAGCTACTATTGCCCACCCCTGGATATTGTTTTATCCTGAAGCTTTTTTTTTTTTTTTTAATTGTTACTAAACTTTTTAGTCTGGGGATTTTTATATTTTTGAGCATAGAAAGAAATTCTGGCAATTGTTTGTTTCAATTGATACACAATTTATTAAAATTTTTAACATTGCCAGTTTTATTATTTTTTATTTTTTTAATATATTCTATTGATTTTTTACAGAGAGGAAAGGAGGAGAGAGCTAGACACGTCGATGAGAGAGAAACATCAACCAGCTGCCTCCTGCACACCCCCTACTGGGGATGTTCCTGCAACCAATGTACATGCCCTTGACCGGAATCGAATCTGGGAGCTTTCAGTCCTCAGACTGACGCTCTATCCACTGAGCCAAATCGGTTTCGGCAACATTGCCAGTTTTAACATCTAGTTTTTTCTTAATGCTTTAAGCCAATTTATGCATTTAAAAATAAATTTATTAACTCCATTATGCTTCAGTTAACATCTTTAAATTACCAAATTAAAAACCCTGAAACATTTTAAAACACAATGAACAAAATAAATCGAAAAGCATAATCAAACAATTAAATATTGTCAATCTAATAAATCAAATTTATAAATTCAGTAAATCAAGATCCTAAATATTAAACACTGCTTACTAACTTAACTTGTTATGTAATCCTATCTAATAATAGTAATATGCAAAGTAACCATCACTCCACTACACCCATAAGCCACGCCTACCAGCCAATAAGGAACAAGTATGCAAATTAACCCAACCAAGATGGCTGTGGCCATGAGCAGGAGGCTTGCGTTTTAGAGGAGGAACCCAAGTTTTCGCACACCCTGGCCTGCCTTGGTCTCCACTTAAGGCTATAAAGTTTCAATTATAAAAGATACTTAAAGCCCAACAAAAATGTCTGTGGCCATGGTGCAAGCAAGAAGCTTGGCTCCTCAAGGTTACAAAGTTTTAATTATAGGAGGTAAATAAATCCCAGATACCAAGGCATCTGCTTAGGTCACGGGGGGTTGTGGCTGGCCTGAATACCACCACAAGCTCTTTGCCCAGACCGCCCCATGCCCCAAGGGAATCCCCAACCTGATCTGAGACACCCTTCAGGGCAAACCATTTGGCCCTCACCCATGCACCAGGCCTCTATCCTATTTAATAATCTAATATAGAGTAATATGCAAATTGACCATCATTCCAAAACACAAAAGATGGCTGTCTCCATGTGGACACAAGATGGCCACCACAAGATGGGCATTAGTGGAGGACAGTTGGGAGGGACCAAACCAGTAAGGGAGGGCAATTGGGGGCGATTAAGCCTGCAGGGGAGGGCAGTTAGGGGTTACCAGGCTGGCAGAGGAGGGAAGTTGGGGGTGACCAGGCCTGCAGAAAAGGGCAGTTGGAGGGGATCCAGGCCTGCAAGGGAGGGCAGTTGTGGGGGATCAGGCCTGCAAGGGAGGGCAGTTAGGGGCAAACTGACTGGCAGGGTAGCAGTTAGGCATCAATCAGGCTGGCAGGGGAGTAGTTAGGGAGTGATCAGGAAGGCAGGCAGGTGAGCAGTTGGGAGCCAGCAGTCCTGGATTGTGAGAGGGATGTCCGACTGCCCGTTTAAGCCCAATCCTACCGGGATAGGGCCTGGGCCTAAGCGGGCAATCAGACATTTCTTGAGTGGTCTCAGATTGAAGAGGGTGCAGGCTGCGCTGAGGTAAACACACCCCAGTGCACGAATTTCGTGCCTGGAGCCTCTAGTTTATATTTTAATCACAAGTCTGAGATAATGGATTCTCTAAAAACATTTCTAATATATCTTTAAAAAAACAAAACAAAAAAAAACAACCACCAGAATAGACAAATTATCAGCTAATTCCTAACTTACCAATATGTTTGTATCTTAAACCAAATGCATAGTTTTCATATTATAGGTAGGAATCACTCCTTAAGCTTGTCATTTTTATCCCAGAACTACAATGTACTTGCACAATAAAGTAGAATAGAATTTTCATCTTTCAGCCTTGTACCACAACTAGAATAATACATTTGGGACTGGGCAGTGCACCTACATGTACTTGTCAACCATAGTCTGCATTGGACCCTTCTACTTCTTTCTTAGGCAGGCTTTTGCTTGCCCTTGTTAACAGAAACCTTGTGAGTCCTCACGTAAATTTAAGCAAGCATTTTAAGTTTTACATTTTTGCAACCTGGTTCTTTTCTTAGAAATGATGCATCCTATAAGTGTTTTCTTTTGATTTTTGGCAACCTGGTGCTTTTCCTAGAAATGATGCATCCATTAAGTTTTTTTCTTATATTTTAGAAATATGATTTTCTTCCTAGAAATAATTCATTCCTTAAGTTTTTTCCTTAGGTTACACTTCATCCCTATTATAATGGGATTTCTTAAGTCCAGTTATGTAAAAACTGTGTAACCTTTGGCATTAAAGTCAACTTGTGTACTAATGGGTTTTGACACCCTACATAGGTTACTTTAACAATCCTTCTCTTTTATAATTTAATAGCTGTCTCATTGGCCATCAGTCATTTTATTGACAATAATGATCAAGTTTAATTTTAACCCCTTTAAATTCATAAAGCCAAAATGATTTTTCTCTCCTAGGAATGCCAGAATCACCTCCGCAGATATGGAAATGTGAATCTGGAACTGGTGACTCGAATCATTAGAGATGGTGGCCCATGGGAAGATCCAGTGTTGCAAGCTGTCCTTAAAGCCCAGCCAGCATCTCAAGAGATAGGTACTTCAGGAAACTCAAAATCAAAACCAACATTTGTGAGAAGCAAACACAATTTTATTTTCTCAGTAGAGCAGTCGTAGTGATTTTTCTTTATTTTATAATATTGAGTAGGAGTTATGTGTTTTTACATAAAGTGTGTTTAATTTGTTTTATTAACCTGCCCTAAGAGTGACTTTTGACATTAGACTTGGATACATTTATTTCTACAATAGTAATTTCCCATTCTAATGGGAATTAACACATTTTTGTCCAGATGTTATTTACAGAGAATTCCTTTTCTTTTGTCACTGCAATTACAGTTTAAATATCTATTTAAGTTGCCAAACTCTTTTAAAACAAAACAAAATACTCTGCTTAAGTACATAAGATCTCCCTTATACAGAAGCAGCTGTGAGGGCTATAACTCATCCGATTTTTGTCACTACTACTGTATATCTCACACCTAGCCCAGTGCCTGGTAGAGAGTAGTTGCTTAATATAAGTACATGTTGACTGAATGAATGACCACATGATGACTGTGTAAGTGAATGAGTAACTAAAGTAAATTTCAATTCCAAATACTAGAGAGCAGTATTGCCCAAACTTCTTCCATTAATAGAAGTTAAAATTTTTCTCATTCCTTTACCGCCTGCATACTTCTTTGACATCACCTCCTCTTAAACCTAGATGTACAGCGGTTCCTGTGGGCCAGAATTTTCCTTTGAAGAAGGAGGCTCTGTCAACTGCTTCTCACATATTTATTCCTAAGCCACAGAACATTTTTGATCACCAAAGCTTAGAATGTATAGCTGAATAAGCACAAAACTGTGAAAAACTTCTGAATGCATGGATAGAGCCTAAGGAGTACAATTATAAGATTGCCAAAAGGAAAAGAGAACTCCCAACTCTGGAACCATTCAGACCTTGGTCTGGTGAAAAAGACTTCATACTACAGATGGTGCTCAGGAGGTTAGGATCTGTCCATTTGTCCCAGGATAGGCATGGGTTGTGGGTAGAGTTGAGTGGAAAAGGAGTTGTGGTTCTTGGGCTTAAGAGAAAGCCAACCCAGATATAAATGTGGAGGCCAACAACAGAGATGTGAGAGATAATGAAAGATAAGGCCAGAAGAAATAGTGCAAACCAATGGGAAGAGATGGGAGATAGGACAAAATAGGAGGAAAAGGCTGAAGTATATATGTGACAGAAGTATATGCCCAAGGGATGCAAATGAGATAAACTTGATATGAGGGTTTGGAGGAGGAATAAAAGAAATGAAGCAGCTGGAACTGAGGAGGAAGAGTTGGATGGCTGAGGAAAGGTAGAGTCAAATATATGTAAGGTAAGGGTGACAGGCTGAAGGAAACTGAGGAGATTGGGGAATGAGGAAAGAGGGGGGAGGAGGTAGATAAAACAGCTTCCAAAGGAGTGAAAAGTTAGGACTTTTAGGAGCGCTTTTAGGCTTCTCTGAGTAGGAGCTAGAACAAACATATGAGTTGCTGTGAGGGCTGATGGCCTTAATTTATGTATATATAGTTAAGGCCATAACTTAACTATATATACATATAGTTCTTTCTTACTTACATTGACACACCTCACTCTGGGGAAAGCTGCTCTAGAGCCTCGTTAATATGAATGACTTCTCTGGTTGGTGATCGTTAGGGTGAAGACTAGTTTGAGGTTTATCTTTGCATTAACTGTACAGATCTATGTCTGTTATCATATGTTGGAAACAGAACTGCAAGGCAAATATTGGCACCCAAATAAAACATCACTCATAAGTATTTTAGAAGCTAATGATTAAACATATAACTAATTAAAAGACTTGGAGTCCAGAATGATATATATGTTCTAGTTCCTGCTTTGCCACTTAATTTTTGTCTTTGGGCAAGTCATTTGACCTTTCTTGAGACTCAGTTTTGTAATCTGTAAAACAAATACTATGATAACTGTCATAAGGTTGTTGTTAGGTTTAAGTAAACTTAGTAGATAAAGGTATTTGTATATTTTTTAATTGTGTAAAACCAAGTATTTGTTAGTAATTATTCTTTGTGATACATGAGCACATATTAATAAGCATTCCTTTTGGCTTAATATTTTGTTGACAAGCAATAAAATATATTTCTTTTATGATTTAACTTTTTCATTAATTCATCAGTAATGAAAATATTGAATACTAAGATCAGAGGGCATAATCTTATAGTAGAAATTGCATTCCCCATGTTATTTGAAACATTTTAACATATTACTGAACTGAAAAATAAATATTTTAGGGTTTTTACTTTTTAGACTGAGAAGAAATCAACAGATGTTTCTTTTCTTTTTTCCAGTTTTATTTATTTTTTAATTTTTTAAATTAAGGTATTATATATGTACATATCTTACCAATCAACAACTATTTTTTAAGCACTGTTTTGTTGTCACTTTTATTTCCATTTTTCCAATCATACAGTAATTATATATATATATTTTCACAAATAAACTTTTACTAAGAAAATGCTATTTAATTAATTTTTAATCTAATTAAATGCTACACATTAGTGATAAAGTTTCAAACAACAATCAAAAGTTTGAGAGCATCCTTTCTTGAGAGTAATCTGAGTCTATTCTCTTTTTAAATACAGTGAACAAATACTTAAGTTCGGAAAATCCACTATTCTTTGAACTACGTGCCAGATACCTAATTGCTTGTGAACGCATTCCAGAAGCAATGGCTCTTATTAAATCTTGTATAAATCATCCAGAAATCAGCAAAGATTTATATTTCCATCAAGCACTCTTCACATGCCTATTTATGTCACCTGTAGAAGAACAGCTATTTCGGGAGGTATTGTTTAAGATTTTGTCTATCATCATTTTAAACTTATAATAAAAAAATGGGGGAAATGTAGCAGAATCTTGTTAAATTCTTTTTGTAGTAATACCAAGAGTTTTCAGATTAAATTATTTAGATGTGTTCTCTTTAACACCATTTTTTAAGCTCATTTAAGTTAGATAAAATCTGATATTAACAAATGATGAAATTAATAAAACATTAATAAGCTTCATTTTATTTACTTATTTTAATCCTCACCCAGGTATATATTTATTGATTTTTAGAGAGAGAGGAAGGGTAGAGAGAAAACACTGATGTGGAGTGAAAAACATGGATCAGTTGCCTTCCATACATGCCCCAACTAGTGATCGAAACCATAAACTAGGTATGTGCCCTGACCATGAATTGAACCCACAACCTTTTGGTATATACTTCAAATCAACTGAACCACCTGGCCAGCACAGTGATAAGCATTATTTATGTTGAGTTTCTGTTGTGACAGAGGTCAGTTAAAAACTGAGAATCATTATGATTTTGCCTTTTAAATAAAATATTAAAAATGTAAATTTTCATGTTATTTTGTTTTTTCAAGATGAAGGAATCTTCCTAATATGGACCCTACTTAGCTATAAGTTATAAATATTAATGAGATTAAAAGTAACTGTAAACTATAGGTGCTATATAGTAAAATAATGAAACTGAAAAATTTTCTGTACAATTCATTGTCTTTGTAGAATAAAACTAAACATCTAATTTCTTCTGAATATTTAAACATTTACTGTAACTAGCTTTTTAGATATTTTTAATGGCATGAACTAATTTTTCCTCTTACAGCATTTATTGAAAACTGATTGTAAGAGTGGAATTGATATCATCTGTAACACTGAAAAAGAAGGAAAGACTATGTTAGCCTTGCAACTCTGCGAATCTTTTCTTATTTCACAGCTCCAGAATGGGGATATGTATTGTATCTGGTAAGTGTTCCTAATATAGAAATTAAAGTAAGTTCCTAATATAGAAATTAACAGAAGAATTGGTTAACAGAGGTTGGACTTTATATTTTTTAAAGTTATGTGAAAATGTTAAGTAAGAAGCGATAGTGCCTAAATATTAAAAAAGAAAATGATCAGTACCAGTAATTGAGGTAAATATTTAAGGCATGTATTACAATGAAACAATCATGTTTTAAATTAAATTTGGAGTGTTAGCTTGTTTGTTTCTTAATTTAAGACAATTTTTTTTAGAGTAGTTTTACATTAACAGCAAAACTGAGAGGGAGGCATAGACATTTCCATATACCCCCTGCTCCCACACATACATATCAATATCACTCACCAGAATGGTACTTTTTTTTTTTTTAATCAAGGATGAACCACCAGTGACTCATTATAATAACACAAAGTTCATAGTTTACCGTACAGTTCACTCTTGGTGTTATATTGTATATTCTATGGGTTAAACAAATATATAATTACATATATATCACTATAGTATCATACAGAGTATTATCATTGCCCTAAAAACTTCTGTGCCCTAACTCTTCATCTGTCTCTGATCCTCATGTCTGGAAAGCACTTATCTTTTTACTGTCTTCATAGTTTTGCCTTTTCAGAGTATAACCTAGTTGGAATCATATAGGTAGCCTTCTCAGAATGATTTTTACCTTATACTATACATTTAAGGTCCATGTCTTTTCATAGCTTGATAGCTCACTAATGCTAAATAATATTCCCTTGTCTGATATACCACAGTTCATTTATCTGTTCACATACTGAAGGACATCTTGGTTGTTTCTAAGTTTTGTCAATTATGAACAAAGCTGCTATAAATGATTTGTGTGCAGGTTTTTATGTGGACATGTTTGCAACTCCTTTGGGTAAAAATACCAAGGAGCACTATTGCTGGAACATATGGTAAGAGTATGTTTAGTTGTATAAGAAACTGCCAAACTGTCTTCCAAAATGGCTGTACCATTTCTTATTTCCACCAGCAACTTATGAAAGTACCTTTTGCTCATCTTCACCAGTATTTGTTGTCAGGGTTCCAGATTTTGGCCCTGCTAACAGGTGTATAGTAGCATCTCTTTGTTTCATTTTGCATTTCCCTGATGTTATATGATGTGGTGCATCTTTTTCATATGCTTTCTTGCCATCTGTATATCTTCTGGTGAGATGTCTGTCCATTAAGATTTTGGCCCATTTTTTCAATCAAGTTGCTTGTTTTCTTATTGTTGAGTTTTAAGAGTTCTTTGTATATTATGGATAATAGTAATTTATCAATTTCTTTTATAAATGTTTTCTCCCAGTGCATGTCTTTATTATTATTATTATTATTATTATTATTATTATTATTGTTATTGTCTTTTACAGAGGTTTTTAAGTTTAGTGAAATCATATTTATTTCATGAATCATGTTTTTGGTGTTGTGTCCAAAATGGTGTCACCATACCCAAGTCATCTCAGTATTATCCTACTATGTTATATTCTAGAAGTTTTATAATTTTGTATTTTATGTTTAGGTCTTATGGTCCATTTTGAGTTACTCTTCATGAAGGTTATAAGGTCTGTGTCTAGATTCATTACTTTTCATGTGGATGACCAGTTCCAGCATCATCTGTTGAAGAGACTACCTTTGCTCCGTTGTATTGCCTTTGTTTGAGATCAATTGACTATATTTATGTGGGCGGATGTCAGGGCTTTGTATTTTGTTCTATTGATCTATTTGTTCTTTCACAATAAAACAGTGTCCTCATTACTTTAGCTTTATAGTAAAACTTGAAGATAGATTGATTAATCCTCCAACTTTGCTCTTCTTCAATATTATTTTGGCTATTCTGGGTCTTTTACTTCTCCATATAAACTTTAGAATTAGTTTGTTATTATCCATAAAATGACCTGCTGGGATTTTGATAGATATTGCATTAAAATCTAGAGCTCAAACTGGGAAGAACCAACATCTTGACAATATTGTGTCTTCCTATCCTGAAAAAAATCTCTCCATTTATTTAGATGATTTAATTCACCTGAGTTTTATAGTTTTCCTCATAAATTTTGTGCATATTTACTTAATTTGTACCTAAATATTTTGTTTCTTAGGTGCTAATGTAAATGGTATTATGTATTAGTTAAAAAAAACCAACAACACATTTTAAGAATTACTTAGAAATTATTAGTAGGATATGTAACTTAGAATGTATTGTGAGTGTTTCCAGTACTTACTCTTAGAGTACTGTTAGGTGAAACCATGAATAATTATTATAAGAGATTCTAATAACTTCTGTCCCCCTTCCCCAACACACATACGCACACACACAAACTTTACCACTTTGACATTTCATTAATTTTGAAGGGAAAACTAGGTTTCATTTGCTGAATATAATAACCTGAAATGATATGGGCTAGAAATATTTTTATCAGTGCTTTTGAATTTTACATATTTAAAATAATAGCTCAAAAGGGGATTTAAGCTAAACTAATTTAATATTCTTGTTTTATAGATTAAAATCTTCAGACTAAGAGATAAATAGGTCATTAATAACAGAACTGGGTCTAAAAACTAGTGGGTTATCTTCTAGGAGAGAATACTTTTTAGTTAGGTTATATAAGTTTTTATTCAGAAGTTTACCTGGTAAGTTGGAATTTCAAATACACTTAAGTGTCATTTCTTGATAAACCATATTCCAAAACAGAAGATAGTAATGACTATTATAGTAGACTAGAGAACCAATGCATGAAATTCGTGCAAGGGGCTTAGACCTTGAAGCTGCTGCAGCTGCCTCAGCCCTCACAACCCTGGTCTCATCTGGAAGGTCGTCCGGAAGGATGTCCGGAAGGTCCTTCATCTGTCCAGTCTAGTTAGCATATTACACTTTTGTTATTAAAGATTGATTTCTATGGGGATAGGCATGTTCTTTGTCCTTGGCTGTATTAATCTATCTAAACAGGATGTCTTCAGTCTTTTCATATTCTTAAGTAAATTGGAATCATGTGTAAACAACAACAAAGAGGAAAACATTTATTTTCTTGGCTAACTAATTTCTACTCTTACAGAAGGACTTTAAAATAGAACAGTGCCTTTCTTTCCCACTCTTGGCCATTATCACTCTCCAAGAATAGAGCTGGGAAATGCAACTCCCAGCTGCCTAATTGGAGAGGAATCTTTAGCCTGCTTCTTGGTCTTTCTTCTGAGTAGGCTGAGTTCTCAGGGTCTTTCCTCATTTCTTCTACCTCTCCTCTATATTTCTTAATGCTGAGCTCCGTTTTCCTTCTAAAAGTTGATTTTCATTGGAGCTTGAAGAGCAGAAGTCTTTCCATCCTATAAAGTCTGTGTTGTCTCTTTCATCTTGGCCTTCCTATGAACTAGCTTACTCTTTATCTCCTTTCTCTAAGGAAAGAACCTGATCCATAGTCGACTTTTGTTGTATTTCAGGCTAGTGGAGTAAGCTACTAACCCTATTTCTCTTACCATAACTGAATAATAATAATAATAATAATAATAATAATAATAATAATAAGAGAGAGAGAGAGAGAGAGAGAGAGAGAGAGAGAGAGAGAGAGAGAGGAAGGGAGGGAGAGAGGGAGGGAGGGAGGGAGGGAAGGAGGGAGGGAGGGAGGGAGCGCGCCAGCGACTATAACAGCCATAACAACTGGTTTACTATAATGTGGCCATTGAACTAGCCCAATTAGGGGGTGGGGCTGGCTGGCCAACCTCATGGCCCCTCCCCCCTGCTTGCCTGCCACTGATCGGACTCTCCCACTCTGATCAAGAGTGGGCTTATGGCCAAATGATCAGCCCTCCTCACCACCATAGGCCCACAGCCCCTCCCCCTGGCCATCCTACCCCTGATCACACCCCCACCCCAATAGAGGGCAGGGCTGACTGGCCAACCTCCTGCAGCCCACTGCCCTGCCCCTGTTAATCGCCCCTCCCCATGGATGGCCCCGCTCCCAATTGCCCCCGCAACCCCAATTGGGGACAGGGCCCACCAGCCAATTGCCTGCAGTTCCTTCCCCCAGCCAGCCGGGCCCTGATCACGTTTCCATCAGGGCAGGCTGGCCAGCCAACCTCCCGCCATTGCCTCCTCCTGAAAGATCCAGCCCTGATCTGCCCTGATTGGGGCTGGGCCAGCCAGACCCCACCAGTGCACAAATTCGTGCACTGGCAATGATGATGATGATGATAATAATAATAATAATAATAATAATAAAGTAATAGCAGCTGCTAATTGTTGCCATATGCTTCCTATAATCTTTGCTGTAAATCTCATTTATTTCAATAACTTTAGGGGGTAGATAATATACCCAAGCCATTCAAGTAGTAGGTAATAAAGCCAGAATACAAATCCAGGTAACCTGACTCACAACCTCTACCAGTAAACATTACTTACATAAACTAGTCAAGTATGAAAAAAATAATATATGTTATAAGGATGATTGTAGAACCTATTATAATCTATTCTCTCCAACTAGATAACTTGATTTATTTTATTAATACTTGCTACCTGGTAAAAATGCCAAATTGGTGCTGTGTTTTCTAAAGGACCCTATGTTTGGGGGGGAGAAGGGGGAAAGTAAGCCTCATTAAAATATTCCCTTTGGTCTTCACAAAGACTTTTATTTAGTATGTTTGGTTCTTTATTTGTGTTTTCCTTCAAAACCCAGTGTACATATAAAATCTGAGACTCTTTGTAGATTCATTCAGAATGGAGCTTCATAACCATATTCTAGTATTTCTGCTTTGCCTGCTAGAAAGCAAAAATCCATATTGGTAGCTCTCTCCTGGCAAATTTATTAAGACCTTGGTATTACATTTTGTTTACCAAATTTCCTTCTGAGTTAATAAAAACAAATAGAACTCTCTCTTCAGAAAAGAGAAAAAAAATAATATTGTGTCTTGAGAATGTCTCTCTAAGGAGTCTCAAATTATTTTTTGAAATAAGTTAGAGAATAAATATATACATTTCTATAATGTTAAACATTCATTTGTATAATATTGAATGAAATACTTTCCCAAAATTTCCAAATATAATTTTTTTGTCTTTAAATCTGTTGCATAAATAGGCCACATCTTTTGAAAACCTCCATCCATTCATATTCCTCTGTTCATAAAATGCCCCTTACTAGGAATGTCCACCATCATCTTTTATCTCATTCCATGTCTACATTTTCCTTTAATATATTTCCTCAAAAGTCTTTCTGTAAATGTGTTTAACATTTAGGAACACAATCTTCTTCAGATCACTAACAAATATTTAGTGAACAAATTTCATTGCTTGGCATATTAAGATTATAAAGACAAGGAAAGAATACAGGAAACTAGTGATTTATTAATATTAAACATTAGATTATACCAGACACATTTCCTAGGTGTTTTCACTTATCTCTTAAATCTTTTTATGTATAAGAAAACTTATACACAAAGTGGATTAAAGAGATGAAAGTTGCATAGCTAGTAACAATGTGAGGTTGTAATTAAATTAGTCAATCTGCAACTGACAGCATCCTAACTATAGTACAGTATAGTATAGTCATACCTCGAAGATACTGCAGGTTCAGTTCTAGCCACCACAATACAGTGAGCATTGCAAAAAACAAGTCATACTCTTTTATTTGTGGAGGATCTTCAATTGGTGAAAAAAGGCAACAGCTGCCAATTACAATGAAGCAAAGTGCAAAAAAATAAGGTATGGCTGTATTTATTGGAAATAATAGGGTATGACATCAGCCACAAAAAGAACAGAGATATAGTTGGTCCTCAAAAGGGAAGTGCTAACAGGGACACAGATTGCTAAGTTTAAAAAAAAAAAAAATTAAATTTGTTTCTCTTCTGTGCCATTTGGTTCCAGTCTCTCTTATTGCAGACTAGAAGAAATGCCAACAGTCTTAAGGCTTCATAGCTTAGAGTTGAGAACATCCCAGAGTTGAAAATTCAGTTTTCTATTCCTGAATTAATATCTTAAGGAGATTGAGGAAGGACACATAGGAGACATGGCCACTGGGGTTCCAATCTTGTGTATTAGGGTTATTGCCAGAAAAAAGGTGGCTCACTGTAAAGTGGGTAATACCATACCAGATAGCATATAATACCCTATTAATATTTAGGTCTATTTCCAAACACACGTTTTTTGCCAATACTTTAATACAATGTATCACTGAGGAGATTTATAATGTATTAGTAGCAGAAATACGAACTATTATTATAGGTGAAGTAATTATCACTTTAGTTTAGAATCTTCATGAAGGCTTTCATAAAGAGTCATTTGACTTAGATGTTGAAAGATAAGCTCATTTTATGCCGAAACCGGTTTGGCTCAGTGGATAGAGCGTTGATCTGCAGAATGAAAGGTCCCAGGTTCGATTCCCGTCAAGGGAATGTGCATTGGTTGCAGGAACATCTCCAGTCGGGGGTGTTCAGGAGGCAGCTGGTCGATGTTTCTCTCTCTTCGATGCTTCTAGCTCTCTATCGCTCTCCCTTCCTCTCAGTAAAAAAATCAATAAAATATTTTAAAAAAAGAAAAGAAAGATAAGCTCATTTTAGAAATAAATACTTTCCAAGTAGAGTAATCAATATAAACAAAAGAGAATAAATGAAGCAAAGTAACTGTGAGGAGACCAATCTAGAAGAGTGTCCAGGATTCAAATGTTTGAACCCATGTTTCTACTGCACTTGACCCTAAACAGTATATAGAATAAGCACTAAATAAAATGCTCTGGAAGGTGGAGACAGATGAGCTTAGCAGCCCTATTGAAGTATATGTGTACAATTAAAGGGCCTAAGGTAGTAGCATTAAGAAAAAATGGTATGGCTGTGAGGCAAAAAATAAAAAATAAAAAAATGAAATCGAACTGCAAAGACTGAAAAATAAACAGGTTAGAACAAATAGATTAGAGGAATGTTTAGTGTTACTGATCTAGGAAAATATCATTTATTTTACAGGGATAGTATGGGATAAGGGGATAGAAAGCAATCTTAATTGAAATATACTGAGACATGGGAATTGGTAAAAAAAAAAAAAAAAAAAAAAAAAGTTGGAATTAGAGATTTGGGAGCAAGGTGTGAAACTTATTGAGCTTTCAAAGGCTCAATACATGTGCAAAAACATGTGAGTGGTGGACCAAAACTTATGTATACTCATAGTTAGTATGAAATAGAGGTGGAATTTTAGTTTTACTGCTAATGTGTTGCTTGCCATCATTTTGTTTTGTGTTTTCTGTATGGTCTCTCTAAGTAGACTATGCACTCCTTCAAGCTGCCTTTAGATTTTATAGTTGTATATACTGGGCTCAAAATACATACTTAAAAAAACATTTTCATCAGTTATTTTAATACTTCTTAGATATTGATGCTCTATGTAACTTTAATGATATATTTAAAGAATTCTGATTTGTTAAAATGTGATACCCAGATATATCAATTATATCTCAGGATTTCCTTTGCCTCAAAACCCACTACTTCATCTAATAACCTTGGCCACATGTTAGACAAGACTATCTGTGAAACATTTTAAATGGTCCATAGCTTGTGTATATTAAAAGTAGTATGTGTTAATGGAAGAGCAGATAATCTAAAACATTTCAGATTTAGTAGTATAATATACTTATACTTTTGATCTGTAGTATTTTTGATATCTTAATAGTTTGAAAATGAAAATTATGAACCATGTATTTGCAGACATTCTATAGCTTTGATTTCTAAATTTGCAAGTAGAGTATTAATTAATGGCCAAAATTTATTCTTTCATTATTAGTATCATAATATTGGTACGCTGGAATTAGAATTTGTTTTGATCCAGTACTAGAGATTCTTTAGGTTTGTCAGCATATGATTGGAACTCACTCCTTACCACTGCAAAATCAGTTTCTGTTCTGCCCCTCCCCCAACCCATCTCCAAGCTTCTATTAATTTCATTTAGGTAGAAGTAGCTTTGGGCTTAACATAATATCCATTTGTACCCACTTTGTATACATCTCAGAGCACTATAGCCTCAGTGAAAGATAACTAATGTCTGTATTTTAATAAACTGTATTTTTTATATTTCTCTTGTTTTCTCATTTACAGGGAATTGATTTTCATATGGAGTAAACTTCAGCTTAAGTCTAATCCTTCAAAACAAGTTTTTGTAGATCAATGCTACCAGCTTTTAAGAACAGCAACTAATGTGAAAGTCATATTTCCTTTCATGAAAATCATTAAAGATGAGGTAAATAGGATATATTCACCCCTTCATTTCAAATGAAATTTAAATGACAGTTCATTGAATCTTGAATGTTTTATGACAGAATTAATTTAATTATAAATTTGAAGAGGATATAATTAAATAAGTTTGTCACTTCTGTAGAGTTTTAACTAATTTGTAAGCAGACTTTACATATCTATAGGCAATACTAGCTCACTGTTATAAAGAAATACAGTTCAGCCCTAGCAAATTAGGCTCAGTGGATAGAACATTGGTCTGCAGACTGAAGGGTTCTGGTTCAAATCTGGTCAAGGGCACATGTCTGGGTTGCAGGCTCAATCTCCAGAAGGGGGCGTGCAGGAGGCAGCCAGTCAATGATTTTCTCTCATCATTGATGTTTTTCTCTCTCTCTCCTTCTACCTGCCTCTCTAAAATCAATAAAAAATTAAAAAAAAATACAGTTCATAGTTTTAAGGATGGTGTTTAGGTGAAAAGAAACCATGAATATAAGGCATTTTTGAAACTTAAGGACAGATTTTTAAAGTGCTTATTTTAGGTAAGAATACAAATCCATTATCTGTTTTTAAAAATAGTTCTGAAGCAAGTTTTTGATGGGTTACTTGCAAGTGAGTACAATTCTGCATGACTAATGTAGACATGAAAATAGATCCTGCAAAATCCCTTAACTTTCCTCCTCTATTATTAACAAGTTTGAATACAGAAATAGAAAAAATAAAGCTTTTTTGTGGGGGTTAATCCTCACCTGAAGATATATTAGTGATTTTGATTGATTTTCAGAGAGACTGGAAGAGAGAGGGAGAGACAGAGAGAGAAACAATATGTGGGAGAGACATATTGATTGGCTGCCTCCTGTGCATGCCTGGACCAGGGCTGGCTATCCATCCTGCAACTGAGACCATGCCCTTGACTGCATTCAAACCCAGTACCCTTCAGTCCTCGGGCCAACGCTCCAGCCACTGAGTCAAACTGGCCAGGGCTGCCCTACATTTTAACTGAATCTTTATGTGGGTTACTTTTAAATGTATAAGGAGGCATCCATTAAATAATATATATTTTTCTTATATGTTTATGCATTTATCACATCACTCATTAGATGTATAACCACGTAGTGATCATATTCTCATGACATGAAGTTGGCAGCATTATATCAGAGGTGTGTTTTTGTTTTGTTTCCTATTTATTTTTCTAAAGGCTTTAATAGCTTCACTATTAAATAGTGAAATGTCATTCAAATGCATCGTTAAAGTTCACCTCTCTCCTTCCCAACAAGGAGGAAAAAAACCCAAAAGTATGCTATAGAATGTTTACCAACATGTAAAGTGCATCAGAGTCACCTGTAAAACATTTCTAAAAATAAAGATGTATCTGTATTTTTTTACACGATTCTCATTTGCATAAAATATTAAGAGACTTTGTTAAAGCAAGTTTATAATATAGGTGAAGTTCAGCCAGTTATCATAAAGGTTTGTTATTTTCACAAGTCTGATCAACCTAAGAATACATTATACTAGTAAGAGGAAAAATTCCCCAACATGAAATTAGTATTAAAAATGTGCTTAATTTTTTACACTGTCCTAAAAAGTTTTTTATTAATGGAATAAGTCACTCACATGCCTCCGTGCTATGAAAAGAGGCACAGACAATGCTGTATGAGTTCAGGAGACATTAGAGATGGCATATCTGAAAGGCTTCACAGAGGAAGATGCTTTCCGCTGTGTTTTGAATGATTAAGGAGGATAATACTAATGTTTGTATTTTAGAGCACTTTTGCCTCATTTTATTATTTGTTTCTCACAACTGTCCAGTGACATTAATAGCGTAGTAGAGAAACCTGGGGAGAGTGTGTAGAAGATGAAATTAATCAGAGGGGCTGCAGGAGGTGGGGGTGGGCTTGCTGGAGATCTTGAAGGGACTTAAAGGCTACACTAAAAGTTGGAACTCCAGTCTGTAAATATATTGGAATTGATACAGGATTTGGGGGAAAGAAGTGTTCTGATCCCTTTTGTCCTTTTACAATGAAATTTTTAAACTTAGGCAAGTGGGTACATTATAACTTCATTTGAAGAAAGAAGAGGAATTCTGTTTTGAAGCAATGAATTTTGAATTTGTTCTATTTAGAAAATCTAGGTGGGAATATCTAATTGTAATAAACAATTAGCAAAAAGCAATTCTTTTTGAACTCAGAAAAGAATTTCAAACTGGAAATGATGGATTGATAGGAGACAACTAAATTTAGTGGAATAGATCTGATCCCATTCACTCTGGAAACATTTACTCAAAGGTCACTATATGCCAACTTCTATGCTAACCATAGGAAGATATTAAAAAAAATGAGATACTGTATTATTTAGGAATTCAAAGCGATTACTAGGAATTTAAGAATTCAAAGGCAGAGGCATGGGCACACACAAATTGTTATGAAATAATACATACATGCTTTTTAGAAATAAGTATAAGTTATTCTCAGTGGAAAGAATGGGGAATGTTTAACTCTACCCCAGGACAGGGGCCAGAAAGAATGGTGAGAAAAACTTTAGAGTAGAACTGATTCTCAAAGAATGAATTGGACATGGCTAGGAATGTACCAACTATATAAAGTGGGAATATGATGTGAAAGTTAAGGTCTGCTTATGGAACTGTAAGTAGTTAAGCAGGGTTACATAGCATTTAAAGGATTAAGAGGATGTGAGCATGGTAAGGTAGTCTTCCTCTCTGTCATATATAATATACCATATGCAGGCAGTATGATGTACACTTACAAAAACAGCTTTAAAGACATATCACTTTTGTACTTCTTTCTATTCAAACAAGCATTTTGATAACTCTAAATCATTAGCAGTGTTATTTATATCTTGAATTGGGGTGGGCCGACACAGATTCCCAAGTAAAAGCTGATGTAGTTATCTTTGAGAAGTAAACATTTCAAAGCTTGAATAATCTGCAGATAACTTCCAGTAGGTTCATTATTCTGATACCTTATTAGATTTGGAAAGATTGTAATCACCCTTTCCATGTGGCCTGTACTTCTCCCCTTATTTGAACAGAAGTAACAGAAGTAATATTATCCAGTTCAGCTTTATGAAAGAGTTTCCATAAACAGTTCTTTTTAAAAATTTTTCTAGTTATTTTTAAGATCAAAATTTGATAAATGTGTTTAAATACATATAATGTAACCCTTCTGCCACAGAATGTGAGGTTAGTACCAAAAAAAAATAGGATCTAGATTTATAAGAAACTTTACTCCTCATAAGTTTATGAAGCACTTTGTATTTTAAATCACCATAAGGCTATGAAGCATTTTGTATTATGATTAACTAGAGGCCCGGTGCACAAAATTCATACACTCAGGGATGGGTGACCCTCAGCCCAGCCTGCACCTTCTTGCAGTCCGGGAACCCTTGGGGATGTCTGACTGATGGCTTAGGCCCACTCCTTGTGGGCCATCAGTTGGAGATCCTTAGCACTGCTATGGAGGCAGGAGAGGCTCCCACCACCACCACTGCACTTGCCAGCTGTGAGCCAGGCTTCTGGTTGAGTGGCACTTCCCCTGTGGGAGTGCACTGACAACTAGAGGGCAGCTCCTGCGTTGAGTGCCTGCCCCCTGGTGGTCGGTGTGCATCATAGCGACTGGTGGTTCTGCTGTTTGGTCGATTTGCATATTAGCCTTTTATTATATAGGATAGATCTTAACAAACTTAAAAATTAAATAAATTGGAAGTGAAAATGCTGTCTTTTCCAAATTATTCTCAAGTTTAAAAAGATTTAAGGCTATACATTAAGGAAATTTTTACATTAGAAATACTGTGTTTATTTAGCTTTTATATCAGAGTTGTAATTTAAAAAGATAAACTAGTTTGTTTAATATTTTAAAGATATTTAGTAGTAATATATTTTTTCTTTTTATATAGGTTGAAGAAGAAGGCTTACAAATTTGTGTTGAAATATGTGGTTGTGCTCTACAACTAGACCTTCATGATGATCCCAAAACTAAGTGTCTAATTTATAAAACAATAGCACATTTCTTGCCAAATGATTTGGAAATCCTCAGGATTTGTGCACTCTCAATATTTTTTCTTGAGCGCTCCTTGGAAGCTTATCGTACTGTTGAAGAGCTTTACAAATGTCCAGATGAAGAATATAATGAAGGCACCAGTAGTGTTCAAAATCGTGTTCGTTTTGAATTACTTCCTATTTTGAAAAAGGGATTGTTTTTTGATCCTGAATTCTGGAACTTTGTAATGATTAAGAAAAACTGTGTAGCATTACTGAGTGATAAATCAGCAATCAAATTCATAAATGAAAATACACTGGAAAATTCTATAGATAATCTAAAAAAGACAGTGGAACAGAAAGGTTTAGATGAAGGTGTTGATTCTTTTACAGATCAGAGCACTGGAGAGCTTGATCCTGATGATATATCTGGAGTACAACCTAAAGGCCATGTTAACACAAAAAACCTTACTGCTTTTAACGCTTCTAAAGTAGACCACAGCGTCCCAAGGCATCGGTGTATGTTATGTAATAAGGAATTTCTAGGCGGTCACATTGTAAGGCATGCCCAGGCTCATCAGAAAAAGGGCAGTTTTTCCTGTGTAATATGTGGTAGGAAATTTAGAAACAGAGGACTTATGCAGAAGCATTTAAAAAATCATGTTAAAAAAATACAAAGACATCAAATTGCTGTAGCTCAACAGGGGGATCAGGAAAGTCCTGCTTTGGAAGAAATAAACTTTTCCAATTCTTCAATTTCATTTGAAAATGGGGATTTTTATAATAAAGATTTGGAAATACCAACTATTAATACTTCCAATGATGGAAATGAAGAAGTCATCCCTCAGCACGTGGCTGAATTCACTGAAATTCCCCTAAGTGTATCAGAAGATGTCATTGAAAATATTGAAAATGGCAGTCCTGACACTTATATAAATAATGTATTGGAACCTTTACCTGTATGTGAGGATGACTACGAGGAAGAAGAGGAAGAAGAGGGTGATTATGAAGAAGATGATTATGACCTGAATCAAGAAACTCCAGCACTTCATAAAATTAATGGAACTTTATTCCATCCAAAAGACATATATGATATAGATCAAAAAGGAAACTTTAAGTGCCCTGCTCTTGGTTGTGTCAGGATATTTAAGAGAATTGGATTTCTCAATAAACATGCAATGACTGCACATCCAACTGACTTAAATGTGCGGCAAACAGTAATGAAGTGGAGCAAAGGAAAATGCAAATTTTGTCAAAGGCAGTTTGAAGATTCTCAGCATTTTATAGATCACCTTAATAGACACAGCTATCCAAATGTGTATTTTTGTTTGCATTTTAATTGCAATGAGTCATTTAAGCTGCCATTCCAGCTTGCTCAGCACACAAAAAGTCACAGGATATTTCAGGCCCAGTGTAGTTTTCCAGAATGCCATGAGCTTTTTGAAGATCTTCCTCTGCTATATGAACATGAAGCTCAGCACTATTTAAGTAAAACCCCAGAATCATCTGCACAACCAAGAGAAGCAACTGCTTGGGATGTTCGTACAGACCCAAATAATAGTTATCAGGAAAAAGACTCATCTAGTAATGAGAAACAAGCTATTAGCCTGCCAGTTTTTACTAGCAAATCAAGGAAAGATTCTACAGAACCAAAGACATGTATAGAAAGTATGGAAAAGAAAACAGACAGTTTAATTCAGAATGGAAATGAACATTCTGATAACACTGTTTCTAATATCAGCTTGATAGACCAAAAGATGCCTGACCTAGAGCCAAATTCTGAAAATAATTGTAGTTTTGATTTAGTCAATGGACACAGTGGAATAGAACAGACACCTTTAGTTTCAGCCGGTTCTACTTTGAAAATTGATACAAATAGAAGTAGAACAGAAAATGGTTCCATTTTACCCAATGTTGTACCACAAGAACACAGTACCCTGTCCGTATCTCAGGCACCATCCAAACCAAATCTGACGAGTGAACAAACTTCATATGGCTTAATTTTATCAAAGCCATATGTCAGACCATTGCCTCCCAGTTACCTTGATGAACGGTACCTTAGTATGCCAAAACGCAGAAAATTTCTGACTGATAGAATAGATGCCTGTTCTGATCAAGATAACATTTGTAAAAAATCAGTGAAAAGATTAAGATGTGGCAAATGCCTGACCACCTACTGTAATGCAGAAGCACTTGAGGCTCACCGTGCACAAAAGAAATGTCAGGCACTTTTTGGATTTGATTCAGATGATGAAAGTAAGTCTTCTATCTTCTCAGTAGATAGATCTGTAGAAACAGAAAATGCCATAGGTCTTTAAAGTTAAATTAACATTGTATAGCATCCTACATAATAAAAGCTAATAATATGCAAATCTACTGAATGGTGGAATTTGGGGTGTGGGGCCAGCAAACAGGTGGCCCCTGGCCAGCCAAGGCTTGTGCTAATGGGCAGAGGGAGGGAAAGGCGATGGGGAGTAGAGGGCAACCAGTAGCGGTGGAGGAGTGATGTGGGGGGCTGGCACCATCCCAATGGCACGTCTGGCCTCCTCTCACGGAGGGAGCGTGGCAGCTATGACAGGGTGATGGGGGTGGCGCTGTCCCCTAATCGGCCTGGCAGCAGCAGCATAATGGCAGGGTGATGGGGGCAGTGCCGTCCTGATCACCCATCCGGTCACCTCCTGCAGAGGGAGGCCTGGTGGCAGTGGCAGGGGGTACGGGGGTGGTGCTGTCCCGACTGGTTGTCCCAATCACCTCCTACAGAGGACATCCCCTGAGGACACCCGGACTGTGAGAGGGTGCAGGCTGGGCTAAGGACTCCCCTCCCCCTCAGTGCATGAATTTTCATGCACTGGGCCTCTAGCAGATAATAAAGCACTAACTAGACATTATTCCCTTTAGTCCATACAACCATTATAAGGTGTTATCACTATTCCTGTTTTATAGATCAAACTCAAATTCACAAAGTTAAGTAATTTGTATAGGCGCAGGCTTATGAACTTGTGGGAGCCAGAACTTGTACACAGGTTTTCCATACTCTTTGATCATTTTCTCTGTATCTGAGCATTTCTTCATTCTAGGTTTCATTTACTTAAGGTCCTAGAAACAAAGTAATATGATGGAAATGTTTTGCACCTGCATGCTAGAATATAAACCAAGTGAAACTGAGCTTCTTTAAAAAAACAATTTTAAAGAAAATAAATGAAAAACAAAAATGAGTAGAACTTGCCTTTTTACTGCTATCAATATTCTTTGAATGTGTAAGGGTGTAAACAAACAGGAATCTGACTTAGATTTCCAGTTGAACATTTATAAAACTTGAATTAATAGATACGTTTTGTTTTACAGGTGCCTGATAAAAATGTTTCAGGAAGATGTCGATCAAGCAGTAGTGTGAACAAAACACTACAAGAAAATGCATCATCAGTTTGCTATTTCCCTGACGGCCTTAATTTTAGAGTGGTCTCAGATTAAAGACAAAGCACATTGTCTAGAATGAACTCACAGAGATGTGCTAGTTCAGATTCCAAAAGGGTTATTACAAAACTCCCAAAGTACCAGTTTTCCAGAAAACCACATTAAAAAAAAAAGTTTGAGATTAATAGCAGCATGTTCAATTTCGCTTAAGTGAGAAACTTGTTCAAGCAACTAGTCAGAAAAAGAAACCAGCTATGGCCTTACAGAAAGGGAGTTAACCCATTTAAAAAGGGGGAGGGGTTGGGTTACAATAAACAACTTAAAGTATTCTACAAATGGGATGGTTTTCTTGTCATGTATAATCAGATTTTGACCTCCCTTCTGATCAAACATGGCTTAAGGAATCACTACTAGGTTTATTATAATTTAGAAACTGATACATGAAAATATAACTTGATTTATCACTGTTCTATCCATAAAAGATTATAACTTGTTTCCAGATGATTGAATAAACAGGTCAAAGTTCAATGTATGGCATGCCAGTATTTAAAATTAAAAAAACAAAAGGCAAAACAGTGCTTTGTTGGAACCTTCCATTTTCCATTTTTGTAATACCAGTGAATTATAAAATCAGTAGTGTCAATGGAAAAAGTACCATAGATAACTTTGGGGATAGATGGGAGAAATCTTAAGACCATCAAAGGCTATCTAGTTGATGGAAAACACTGAATTGCAAATTCCTCAATGTGAATAATGGTATAAGCACACTGGGATATTTTTATTTGTATATAGAGTAGTGTTAGGACATTGCTTGATGATTCATAGTAAGGTCCTTTAGACATTAATGTGAGTTATCTAAGTACAGTCCTATAAAAACTGGCTGTAAAAAAAAAAAAGTAAGCTAAGAATCAGGTCAAGAATTCATTGGTTTTATTCATTTAGAAGAGTTAGTTATAAAATAAGCCATACTACTCATGCTTTCTTATTTATTAGTGATAGATTTGGTCTGATTAATAATTTTTATATATATATATATGAAAGGAAATATTTACATAAGAATTTGCACAGCAAGAACACAGTAAGATATACTGATGCATTTATTTTCCTTAATGACCAGTAATTTTCCTAAGGAAGATTTTAACTTAAGTTGTTATGACAAAAAATGTTTTTAAAAATACCTTCTCAGATGTGTTCTACTTGTACATTCTCTAAGAGGAAGGTTAAAGACCTTTTACCCAATAATGTGTTAATCTATAGTAGGGATGAAATGAACAAAAATGCAAAGGCAAATTCTTCAAAAACTGGGCTAGTAAGGTACCAGTGTCCAGTAAGTATTCCAACTGATACATTTTTGTTCAAAGCAGATAACCTGATCAGAGCCTACTATATCCATATATTTTGAATATTAAACTTTGGCATATTAAAGTTTCTTAAATGAAGTTACCAAGCAAGTGGGACATTTCTTGCAGAGCATCATCCAGACTATTGAATTAAGATTTCCAAGTCACAATAGATCATGGTAGGTCAGATATCTAAAAAATTTCCCAATTTTATTAGCTTAGTTATCATGTGCATTCACTACTATACAATTGACAGTCCATTCCAATAAAATTTAGATTTCTTGTTTTTTTTATTTTTATTGTAGCCTATATTAGGCTGTGGAATTTACATTTAAATTGCATAAGTAAACACAAATAAGTAAGATTTTTTTAATTCTTTAAGGTCAACTTAAAATGTTTTCCATATTCCCTGACACTAAAAATATAATACTTGAGATCTATTTCAGTTTAGTCTAAAATAATCATGTAATTAAAAGACTGTTTGGAAACTAGTTCATTTGGACAATAAAGTTACTTTTGAAATACAATTTCTGCTTCATTTTCTGGAAGATAAATTATACTTAACATTTTTAATTATTTTTTTTATAAGTTGAAACTATCATGTCTACAGATTATTTTCATTCATTTTTCAATTCATACCAAGATGTTTTTAAATATATTACATATGTTATTTTATGTCTTTGAGGTTTTATTTCTATTATGTTGCTAAGGGAAAACTTTTGGAGACAGATCAAATTGGTTTATACATAAATCAAGGGATGTCTTATAAAATTCTTTTTGAACACACTGTTCTAACTCTTTATATACTTCTCAAATAACTGTTATTGAAAGAATGTGTACATTTTATGTATGTTTTATAAAACACAAACTTAAATCATTTTGCTTGTAGAGGATGCGTAAACTTCCAACAATTCTAATTTGGGATCCAGAAGAAGCTTTCTTTTTTCTCATTTTATTCTCTTTCTTTTTTACTCCTGTTTTGAGGACGAGTTTATCTTACATGGACCAAGTTTCAATCCTATGTTTTTAAATAAAAAAATGCCTTCAAAACATTAAATACTAACTTTTTACTATGTTTCAGTAAGGTCAAGAAAATAGCAAATCTGAATTTTTGCTGCTCAGATATTATGGGAGAGGTAAAAAAAGAATCTCCGTGGACAAGGACACTGGTACTTTGGGCTTTTAGCCATATTTGTTTTGTTTTTTTTTTAAAAACCACCAATTATATAATGAGTAGATAATTTATAACATTGAACTTGTGATTCTTCTGAAATCACACTTGAAGGTTCAGCCGTACTCCTTTTGTGTTTGGTTTAAACTGTTGTATGGATGAAAAACCTAAAAGGGATGATAGTGTTTATTTTTTAATTTATTTGGTACTGTAAAACACCTTTTCAGAATGACTAAATGCTGCATATGCATTTTGGAATTGTTAATATGTGAAAGATATTACAGATTCAGCAAGAAAGGATTTTGTGCTTCCTTGTTGAACATTAAATTATTTTACTTTGCATTTTATAAGAGTACAAATTAAAACTGAGCCATTGAACTGCAATAAATCAACAATAGTGTCTCATTTCAAGAAGGTTTTTGTACTGTACATAGATTTGTTCAATAAAACATTGTTCTTATTGGTAATGAAGTGTTCATTTTTTTAAGCTGGTTTATTTTTAATTAAATTTTTATTGATTTCAGAGAGAAACACAACGCTTCAAAAGGAATTAGGCTTAATTGATGTTATGCTTTGATAACAAAGTTTCTCCCTCACGATCAATTTTTTTAAAAATCTTAAAACAGCAAGGGAACCACTGTGATGAGACCAGAGTGAGAGAATAACTGAAAATGAAAACAGAAAGGTAAAATATAAAAGTCAGAGTTTATAATGGCAGGCAAAAGCTCTAATACAGTAGCCACTAGCCACATGTGGCTATGAAAATATAATTAAAATTCAAATAAAACATAAAATTGAGTTCCTCAGTTCTATTAGCCACATTACAGGAGTTCAACAGTCACATGTGGCTGATAGTTACTGTACTGGACAAAACAGGTCTAGAACATTCACATCATCTTAGAAAGCACTTTGGACAGGACAGATGGTTCTATATCAGTGATCCTCAACTAAAGATGGTTTTTTGTCTCCCAGGAAACTTGGCAAGTTGGAGGCATTTTTGGCATCCATAACTGGAGAAGATGCTACTGGCATCTAGTGGGTAGAAGCCAGAGATGCTGTTAAGCATCCTATAACACACAGGCTAGCATCTACAATAAAGAATTATCCTATCCACAAACTCCAGAATTGAGAAACCCTGCTCTAGATCAATCGTGACTACAAGTCCTACTTCACTTACTGCCTTCTCCTTCCTCAAGAACCACTCTTCTGTGGTTCACACTCTCATTTTCTTCAGGTCTTTCCTTCAGTGTGACTAGAGAAGCCTTTCTTGACAGCCTGTATAAGATAGCAACATCCTCTCCATCACCCACCTTATGTTTTTTTAATCCATACTATTCCTGACAATACATAATTTCTTGTATGTTTATTGTTAGCTTCCTTTCACTAGAATGCAAGCCACAAATGACTTGCATTTCTTTCAAGCATACAGAACAGTATGAAAAAGTTGGGTATGCCATCCATGTGGTTCCGCGCCAGCTTTATGAGCACTTAACTTGTCGTGCTTTATTTGCCAAACTCCCAAAAGGTCCTCGAAGGAAGGTCTGTATCATTTTTCTGTATCTTCAATACCTAGCATACTAGGCACACAATGCTTAATGAAAAACGAATTTGTATCTGTTTAGGAAAATAATACTCAAATAGCATCCACCAAATTAGATTAACGATGATTTGCTCCTTAAGACTGTATTTATAGTACATTTTATGACTGATATTTAGCTGTGTATTTTTTAAATATTAAATTTGCACACGGGATCTGCATATGTGTATACATTTCAGCTACTAAATGGCAATACACCAATTAAAAGTTATAGAATCTAAAACACGACTTAACAATGGAAGAAACAGGGGCAAGTGTTTTAAATGATTCCTAATGGGATTTGCTGCGGGTGACCGTGGGCTGCTGCGGTGTAACAGTATCGATGGCGCTCACAGCGGTGGAACTGAGAGCAGCACTGCTCTTCCTTATCCCCCCGCCCCTTGTCAGCAAGCCTGCAGTTCGCATCTCAACTGGACCCCTTTCGAGGTGGGCTGAGGGGCAAACGTGTCTAAAGAGCTGGCCCACGGTCACCGTTAGTTGTTGATTAAACCCGTGGCCTCCGGCTCCCAGCTCTAACCTCACTGCCACGCGCTCCCGCGCCTCCTAGACCAAGTCGGACCCGGAGTGGGAGCCACGGCGCAGCCGCCAAGGAGGAAGGTCAGCTGGCAGGTGAGAGGTGGTTTAAAAAAAAACACCCGAAAAACTTTCCATAGTGTGATGTTAAAACCCAATTATTTTAACACAGTACCATGCAACTTAAGAACATCAAACCGCAGGCGCGCCCAACTCGGAAGTGGCCGCGGCAGACTTTCAACCGCGCCGGGGGCCGGGCGGCGGGCGGGGGAGGCGCCGCCATTGGCCGGCCCCGGGGCATCACGGGAGTGCGCCCCACGCCGGGGCCGGCGCCCGCTTTCACGCACCTGCACTGCGCAGCCCTCCCTGGCGCTCTTTTGGAGAAGGGCCTCCTCAGGCTTTCAGGGCATCACTCTCCGCAGCCAGCTGCCTTACGGAAGGCCGATGTTCCCCGTGTAAATGCGGTGCTTTCCTAAAATGAGATTCAGGGGACTCGCTCGGTCCTGGCCAGCCCGGAACGAAAAGTTGGAGCCCCGCTTCCTGGTCGATCTCATTGGCGGGGCCACTTCCGCCCCAGGGTTTGGAATACCCGAGGCGCTTTGGCGGCGAACACCCTGGAAGGCACTTCCTGTGCCTGTTGCCAAGGCGCCGGCCCCTTGGGCCTAAAGGAGCGACGTCATTGGCGTCGTCCTCTCCCCCCCCTTCCCGGGGGGTCAAGATGTCGGGGCTCAGCTGCCCGGAGAGAGAGGGCTGCCGTCACCTGCTCGGCCTGCTGGATACCGACGATATCATGGCCCTGTGCGACACCGTCACCAACCGCCTGGTGCAGCCTGAAAACCGCCAAGGTGAGGCTGGACCCCGGTCCGCACAGCGGGGCCCTCCCCGGCCTCCCCGGCCCCGGCCCGGCGGCGGGGGCGGAGGGGTGCCCGGCCCCGCGGCCGCCTCCGCGGCCCGGACCCCCGCGGCCCCGGCGGCCCCGCCGCACGGTTCCCCGGGAGGCGGAGGCTCGGAGGCTGCCGCCCGTGAATAATACAGGCAAATGCTTCAGAGGACGTGCATAGTCCTTAAAAAAATAATAACAAAGCCATTTTGTTTCCATCAACTGAGAGTCAACTGTTAGCCGCTCAGGCATTTTCTAGCTTGGAGGAGATCAGGCATTTTGTCAATTTCCTAGTAAAACAAATTACTGCAATAAAGGCAGGTGGTTTGAGTTCATGTCTGTTCTTGGATACAAATTTTTTTTTTTTTTTTTTTCTGAGATTCTGTGTAGAAACACCTTGCTTCAAGGGTTATTAAACATAAGCCTGACTGTAACGAGTCCGTGTATAAAAATGTAATGAGTAGCTTAAAAACCAGGCCAGTTTTATTCTAAACTTTCTGGATTTTACTTTAAAATGTCAAAATCCCAGCCCCCTATATGGAGATGACTTAGTTATAAAATACTCTATACATTGTAGATATAGTGTGAATATTTAAATAAGTAAATGACTTATTTATAAAAGACTGCTTTTTAACACTGTATTTTTCTACTTAAGTTGGATTTATATTTTCATTACTTGAGAAAATCTGTCATTTGAGTCTTTGAACGGTGAACATTGAAAGAAGAAATTCCAAAGAGAATGGTTTTAGACTTAATGGTTTCAGCATTTATGTGTTTTACATAATCACCTCTAAAGTCATAGTGAGTGAATTTAAAATTGTCATACATCAAAAATGCTGGATTTAATTGGTTCCCAGTACAAAAATGTTAAATGACTTGAAGAAATGTTTCTCAAAGAGGAAAAAGTAATCACTAAACATATGAAAAGGCAACCTCTTTAGAAAGCAGTGAAATGGAAACCAAAACACACGATCTTTTCCCCACATATACCAAATTGGCAAAAAGCTAAATGTATAAACTTCAAACGTTGGTGATCACGTGAAACAACTTTTGGAGCTACCACTTCGGGGAAAAAAGTTTGACATTATCTTCTGAAATGGAAGATTTGCTTACTCAGAGGCACATGTTTCTAGACCTGAGTTTCTCAAACTTGAATTTGCCATTGAATCTCAGGGATCTTGTTAAAATGCAGATTCTGGTTCAGTAGCTTGGGTTGGGCCCAGGAAGTCCACATTTTAGCAAACTCCTAAGTGATGCTCATCTTTTCCCCCTGCTCTAGGAGACATGTATGAAAGAAAGTAATAGTGTTGGTCATTGGACGCACACAATAAAACCCTATAAACAAAAATAAATTACTTTGTGATGTAATATAATTAAGGTACAACTAAATAAAGCTATGAATCTGCTAATAGATTAATCTCATTAAGCTGATTAAGAAGATATCTATTGATGGGTTGAATTTACTGAATGTTCAAAAAATAGCAAATTATATTGTTTAGGGATAAGAATCAAGGGAATAATAAACATTTAGGATAGTAGCTACCTGTAAGATAGATGGGTAGAGAGAGGGAATGGCATTAAGGAGGGAGGGGTAAAATTATGGCTTCAAAGGTATTAGTAATTTCCTGTCTCAAATTGCATGTATGTACATAGGAGTTCATTTTATTGCTATTCTGTATACCTCACACATGTTAAAAATAATCTTCGGTCTGTTATTTAATATAATTTTTAAAACTAAAAAAGTATAAGTCTGGGTTCTGCCAATTCTTAGAAGCATAATTATTGATATCTTATATATCCTCAAGTTTCATTATATGTAGAGTGAAAAGATTGAACTAGAAGTTTTTGTACATCTAAAATACTGCAATTTTGCCCATTTTTAGCAATTATAGCTGAACTTAGGTCCATTACTGTATTAGAAAATTTTTTTTCTGGCTTAAATTTTTTCTTATAACTAGTTTTGTTTTTTGTTTTGTTTTTTGTTTGTTTTATCCTCACTTGAGGATATTTTTCCATTGATTTTTTGGAAGAGGGAGGGAAAGACATAGAGAAATATCCTCCTGTCGAGGGCGTGGGCCAAGGAGGAGCCTGAATAGAGGTACATGCCCTTGACCTGGGACCCTTCCATCTGCAGGCTGACCGACCGTCACCGAGCCAAACTGGCTAGGGCTCTTTTTTTTTTTAAAGAAATGCTAAAATTTTATTATATTAATGAGAAATGAAAGGAAGAGGGAATTTTAGGTATTGTAGAAAAGTTGAAAGCATAAAGAAATTTTTTTTAAAGTCCCAAACCTGACAACCTACTTCCTGGTTTTTAAAAATGATAACCATCTCATGCAGAAGCAAAAATGTCATGACAGAATATAGATATTTGGGAGTTTCTGCTGATCCTGGACAAATTTACAAGTGACTCATGATTTTCTATTAACATTTACAATTTCCTTCTAGATGCCATTCGTGCAATTTTAGTGTACAGTCAAAGTGTAGAAGAACTTCTGAGGCGTAAAAAAGTCCACCGAGATATCATATTTAAGTACTTGGCATCACAGGGGGTTGTTATACCTCCAGCTACTGAAAAACACAATCTTATTCAGCATGCAAAGGATCACTGGAAAAAGCAATTACATCTGAAATTGAAGGAAACACCAGAGCCAGTTAAGACCTCTCAGGACATTAGAAACTTTCAAAAGGTAAAATTAATCTTATAGTTATAACCTGAACCATAATTCTATTTCTAACTCTTTAGATAACCTAGATCTGGCGTAAAATGTTAATAATATTTTGATTTTTAAAAAAATTCTATGCCCTAACCGGTTTGGCTCAGTGGATAGAGCATCAGCCTGCGGACTGAAGGATCCCAGGTTCGACTCTGGTCAAGGGCATGTGCCTTGGTTGTGGGCACATCCCCAATGGAGGGTGTGCAGGAGGCAGCTGATTGATGTTTCTCTCTCATTTAATGTTTCCAGCTATCCCTCTCCCTCTTTCTAAAAAAATCGATAAAATATATTTTAAAAAATAATAATATAATTTTAGCTTTTCTTCATTTCTACTTTAAAAGAATGCTATTGTAAGCTCTTTCTCATTTTAAAAATGGTTTCTGGTTATTAAATTTCAGAAATTCCATGAAAGAAACTTACTTTTTACATTTGATTTTTAATCTAGAAAAAAAATTGTTGCAAATTCCACTGGCTGACATTGGCTGTTTCTATTACTTTATATCTCTACTGTACATTGTAGATATTGTGTGAACATTTAAATGTTGATTGAATGAACCTCTATGTCATTTGCAGATTTTTAAACTGCATACCACAAACTGAATTAATGACCTTTTACAGTGAGAGCTATTCACTTTCACATTAGGAAAGGATCTTATAAGGTCTTTCTTAATGTACTGAAAGAACCTGGACTTTTAATTCATAACTAATGTGATTTCATATTAGGGTCTGCCATATACTAGGTGTGAACTTGTGCAAATAACTTTACCTTTTTGAGCCTTATTTTCTTTATCTACAAAATGGGCATAAGGATAATATCTATGTCATAAGACTTGTGAAGATAAAAGGAAATAGCACATACCACAGTGCCCAACATATTCAGTATATATAAGATTTCATAACATGTAAATGAGATACTTTTTTTTCATAACCCGTGAAACCACTGACACAATCAAGAGAAAATGCTTATTTAAATCATTATTATTGATTATCCATGATGATATTTTAAGAGGCTTGGTGAAACTTTAATTTTTTAGCTGGGTTTTTGGATGTTTGAGCTGGGAAATTCTAAAATGGTTTTTTCCCTTTTTGCAGGAAGAATTTACTATGTACGAGTTTGCATGTAGTTCATTTCCCTGGTGTTATAATTAATACTGTATTAAAAACTAGCTCTGAAACAGGCTAGATAGAAAAATAGGTACAAGTATTAACCTTGGTTTTATTTGTATTTATCTAATCTGCAGGAGAAAGAAGAAAAAACTGAAAAAGTTGATTTCCGTCAATTAGGAGAAGCATTCTGTCACTGGTTCTTTGAACTTCTTAATTCTCAGAATCCTTTTTTTGGACCACCTAAAGATGAATGGGGGCCACAGCACTTCTGGCATGATGTCAAGCTTAGGTTTTATTACAACACATCTGAACAAAATGTGACAGACTACCACGGAGCAGAAATAGTGAGCCTTCGTCTGCTGTCACTTGTGAAAGAAGAATATCTTTTTCTCAGTCCCAACCTTGATTCCCATGGATTGAAATGTGCTTCTTCTCCCCATGGTCTGATTATGGTTGGAGTTGCTGGGACTGTCCACCGAGAGAACTCTTGTTTGGGCATTTTTGAACAAATTTTTGGACTCATCCGCTGCCCTTTTGTGGAGAATACTTGGAAAATCAAATTTGTCAACCTTAGGATTATTGGAGAGGCTTCCCTTACTCCTGGAGCATTAATGAAACCAGCTATTAAATTTGAACCGAGTGATCTAGAGGCCTTTTATAATGTAATTATCTTATGTGGTGTCAATGAAGTACAATGTAATGTAAGGCAGACGGGTAGTGGAACTGGAGACCAAGGTTTGTGCAGTGGAAATGAGGCATTGTTGAACAAAAGATAACAGTTTAAGTAATCCTCTAAAGCACTGAGCACTGTATGTATGGAAACTATTCCAGACACTGCATTGATATATTTTAGTTGAAATATCTTTTTTGACTACAGACTAACATATGTGAGTACTTGCCTCTTTCTACCTGAGCTGCAGCAAACGTTCTGAGGGCTTACTGCAGTTCATCAAATAAATCCCACTTTAGATGTTATAAATGTTGTGCCCTAGAAACCAGGTAATATTTTCATTTTACTGAGTATAAATGTTCTGCTAATGTGTATACATTTCCTGTGGAAAAGGAGTGATGTTTTTCAAGGCTTTCTATTTTCAAGTTTCTTAAAAACAATCTGGATAATTTTACAATATTTTAAAAATATGCACTTTAAAAAAATTGCATCTTTTAGAGATGTCTAATGTAAAATCAAAGTTCTTTTTTTAGAAAGCATCAATGACATTCATATGCAAAAAGTTTAATAATTTAGCAGGCCTGGAAAAATTTACTTTGCCTTTTTAAAATCTGAGGAACCTATTTCAAAGTTATCTACGATAGTCCAAGTTAGATATCTTATAACCTGCAACATTTTCTGAACTATTTTGGGCAATGGTAAGTGCTGTCGTCAAATCAGACTTTACTATCTAAGCTCTAACAGTGTTATGGGGCATTGATTGTAACACCATATTAAGGAAACATCCTGTTGAAATTTTTGGAAGGTGTGCCCAATTTCTAACTTTTAATTGAAATTACTGTTTTTCCTCTTGCTTGATCTTGGTTGAGGCGATCAAAAAAATAAAAATTATAATGTAAGCATATACTCCCTCATCACAAATTAAAATTATTAGGATTTTTTTTTCCACCTGTAACTTGTTTTACTAGGATTGAGTTATTTGGGTTAAATTGCCAAATTAATTACACAATTGCTTTAAAATTTAAATTTCTCATCACCCAGCAGCTACTTGCTGATACTGGATTTAATTTGTAATTTTAATTTTCAAATGCCATTTGGGAAAAAAATCAACTGGGAAGTGCTGTGATGTTGTATTGTACATGTTAACTTTTTACCTTTAACTCTGCTCATGATCATCTAGGGTGACTGAAAAGAATTTTGGAAGCAGGAGGAAAAACTTGTTTTTTTAATGCCATGCCTCTTAGGAGGAGTATAAATTGATATGTCCTAAAATAAAAACTTAAAAAAGGAGGGAAATCTCTTTTGTCTGTTATTAGAACAGTGTATTATTTAGATTTAAAGCCAATTTTATTTTTCTATAAGTTGGAAGTATTATAATGTGTAATCGATAAATATCCTAAGTAAAGGATAAATTAAAAACTATTCTCATCATTTTCTTTGTGCTGTTGATGTAAAATACTGTAAAAAGTATAACTATAGATGCTTAAGATAGACAGAAACTGCTTCTATCTTTAATATTTTTGATTTTGTATAATGCTCCAGTAAAACTTCAGTCTCTGCATGTTTGTTTTAATCACCCTTAAAAGTTTAAAATCTTCCTGATAGACCAAATCTCTTGAGGATTAGAGCTATATTTCCTGTGAATCCACAGCTGGACACCTCCCTAGGACCTAATGTTGAACTGAAGGGGTGAAAGGGTGACCAGAAGAAGCTTCTGTGTGTAGACTTATCTTTGGTGATTTTTATCAGTGGTAGCTTTGTGATCATATTGTCTCTTTGAGTTGTATATGTGGATACACAGAAACTCTTAGGCCTCAAACTAACTCAGCTTTGGGGAATATTTTAACTTTCATTTAAATTTGATGAATTTCAGAAGCCCCAGGTCAGAGTGGGATATACTAAGAGGGCCCTAAAACTATGTAGAAACTGTTAGAGGGGAAGTGGATACTTCCCAGTTGGAGGAGGAAGACTGGGAGAAATTGAAACTTATTCAGTAAGCTTAAAACTTGATCTGGCCTGTAAGAAGGTTTAGAAGCACGGTGCAGATTACTAGTAAATTACTGCCACGCATTGCTCTGTTTGTTAGCGAATGACAGACCCCCACCTAGCATATGTCTCTTGCTTTATTACATTTAGCAGATATTTGGAAAGTCTGTGGAGGCAAGTGATAAAGAATAAAATGTTCTACACTTAATTTATAGTAACTGAGTGATCAAACCAGGGGAACTTATGGGTTTTATTTATTGTAGGCTGATTTGCCGAAACTTAATAACAGGATATACATTAAATACTCTTTTTTTTTGGTGAAAATAAAAAAAATCCTAAAATAATAGTTATATCAGGATATTTTTACAAAAAAAACCCCACGTATTTCATGTGTCTCATTAACAAAACCAAATAGGAGGAAAAAAAAAAAAAAAGAAAACCACTGCAAAAAGCAAACACAAGTCAAGAAAATGTTCCAGAGTTTTAGAAAAGTAACATTTTTATCCTGAAGGAAGACTTGTTACTTGGTCCCAGTAAGAAATTGTGATAACACCAGAAAAGGATTTAAAGAATAGTGGTTTAATTTTTAAAGTGGCTAATCTGAAATATTGTGTTTTAACAAAATGGCTCTTGTGGCTAAGTAGATCATAAAAATGAATGAAAATGATACTTCAACATTTTTCTTATCTATTTTCACACATTTAAATGCCATTTTCACTGGTTTTTAATTTGGGTTATGGATGGTAGTCATCGACCTTTTGCAAAAATGAAAGCTATATTCCCTCTCCCCAGAAAAAATATATTTGCACCTAATATTACAATTTTTGCATATTTCAGAGTTCTTGGATTTCCTTAAAGCACATCTGTGAATCCTGCCATTATAGCTTTATTCCTTAACCCCCAGACTACTATTCTACTATATTAAACATTAAAATTATTTTTAGAAAATTTGTGCCCTTCCAAGTCCCAAAGCTAGAGTACTAAATTTTATAAATGAACTCTAGGAAGTCTGTTAATGATTGTTGTTAAACTTGTAAATTTTGTCTTTCAAAATATGTGAGATTTAAGGCAAAACCCACTGAAATACTGTCAAGTAAAACAAAAATCAGAATTCATTTAATAGAAATTTAATGTACAATAAACATGCTTTGGAGAAAGTGATAAAAATGAAAAGGAAAAATATATTTCTAAATAGATTTTTTCAAGACCTTTATAAAAAATATCCTAAGATGTTTATTTAAAAATTATTGTGTATTGCTAATTCTGATGAAGGATTTAAAAAAATATGAACATTTCTTCTGAAGGGTCTAAATATGTGATCTATTTTTTCACCACTTCCTCTCCCCTAACCCTATTTATAAGCCTTGTAGATAGTCATTTTTGCAGATAGCACAGCTGCAATGCTGGAAACAGGATTTTCTGGTTGTGGGTTCTCTACATTTATTTGGCATTTACTTATTGAACATCTACAATTTGTAAGTCACTGAATCAAGTGAAAGATAAAATCCTTTAGTACTAGGTTATTTACCTAGATTTATGTTTAATTCAAATCACAATCCCTGGGTTGAGGTGTTTTAAAGTGGGAACTATTGTAAGCCCTTTGCAAAAGGGTTCAGTGTAAACCTTTTTTGTGGTCAGAACAACAGAAAACATTTTAACTTAAAATTTGAATAGCTATATAGTTTTCTAGCTAAGTCATACAGGTTTTATCAATATAGAGTATAGACCACTCTTTCTAGCTAAGTCATACAGGTTTTATCAATATAGAGTATAGACCACTCTGACAGACCACTTTTATTTTAGAATTGTGTCAGAGTGCACTGAATCCTGTTAGGCTTATTTTTTTCCTAGTTTGAACCTTTCCACTAGTTTTTCAATAAAAAGTGTTAAAATTGAATGTAATATTTGCTGTGAGTTATAATGTACCTAAAAAAATCCAGAATTACTTATAAAACTTAGTACCTCCTAACTTCTGTTCCCAGTACTGTCAATATACTTTTCTAGTGAGTCAGTAAGTGAGGATTCTTTAGTTAGCAGTTTTCATTTTCAGTTTTTAGATAACCTCAGTCTCATGTGGAATTAAGTTTGAATTGAATTAAGGACTGAAGCAATGCCCTGCTGCACACTGCCAACTGTGTTAATCTGATGTTTTCTGAACAAAAAATATATACCGTATTTTTCGGACCATAAGACGCACTTTTTCCCCCCCAGAAGTGGGGGGGGGGGGAAAGTCCCTGCGTCTTATGGTCCAAATATAGCCTACACATATACTTTAAAAAAAAAGTTTTTTTACTTGCCCGGCTCTGTGTGGTCTCTGTGTGCTTGCCCGGCTCTAAAATGGTTCTAAATGCTGCTGTTTACTTTACAGGGTTGATTACATGTGTTTATGATTGTGATGTTGGGTTTTAATGCACATAAAATATTTAGGACACTATTTGTTTCAGAATCTTTTTTTCTTCATTTCCCTTCTCTAAAAACTGGTGCGTCTTATGGTCCAGAGCGTCTTATGGTCCGAAAAATACGGTACTTAGGAAAGCCATTTTTCTGGAACTATTTAGTTGCAGAAGTTTGCATTAATCTTTTTCATCTCCCATCTTCTATAATATACTAATGGGTAATATCAAAACTTAATTGTCTCAAACTGTTAGATGTAAGTTACTTTTGCCTCCTACGTTTGTGACATTAAAATTTCCTTAAGTACAGCTTTTATCATGTCTTTCATGCTTAGAACTTTCAGTGATGGTTTATTACCTTCAAAATAAAGACCAGATTTTGTAATCTGGTTTTCATCTCTATCTAGGTTTGATTCCATTCATTTTCACACATTGCTTGATCCAACATCTAATGTGTGCAGTCATTACACTTATCCTGTTATATTGGAAAGTAAACAAAATTGTAGTTTTGTGGTTGCCGTCTGATATATATTGTAGAAAAAAGAATTATGGTTAAAATGGAGTTTAACAATTGGAAATGCCAATAAGTAGCTTTTTTCTGTTTAGGAATTCTGTGTACATCATCTATCTGGAACAATCTTTCTCCAGCTTTTTGTATGGCTACTTTATTTTCTTTATGAGGGTTTGGTTAAGTGTTTCCTCTTAGACCAAGTGGACCTTCTTGTTAATATTTATCAGAGCACCTTGTTTGTTTGTCTGACCAATTTACTGATTTATTAAATACTGCCAATTTACTGATTTATTAATCACTAGATTTTAAACAGAGAAAGGACTGCAACTGTTTCACTTTCATTGCTTCCACTGCTTTGCACAGAGACTAGGTATTCAATATTTATTAAAGATACAAATAAGGCAACAAATGCTAC